TACAAATAGAGCTTCAGGGTAACTCTCTGCCCTCTGTTACTTGGTTATTTACTATTCAAAGTTGTAAGAAGGCCGGTGTAGTAGTGCAAGTCTGTTAACCCAGGCTGCTTGGGAAATTCAGATTGAAGGGGTTGTGTGTGCAGCTCAGAGATGCTCTTGAGAATCCATCTCCGCTACCTTGGGAATACAATGACTGGGTGGGGGGGTCAGCAATGTGGGAAAGCACAGGAGAAGGGTCACAGCTCTGGCCAGCCTGGGAAATGATCAAGGGAGACTCCATCTCAAAATGCATCAAGGTACCGGGGGAAAAGAACAATGGGAGGGTTCTGTGCAGCCCATCACAGCCTCACCTTTCCATCTGAGGTTCAGATAGAATGGCCAGTCCCCTGGGATGTTCAGGAATGAGAAATTCCTCAGACACAGGACGTGTGATCACAACATGAGGAAAGTCCTGGGCAAACCCGGATGACCAGACCGGAAGAACCAGAAAGTCCTTCCTAGATGGAAGAGATACCAGGCTTTCACATTAAATCTTCATCCATGAACTGCGGTCACTGTTTGTGCCCATCACAGGCAAAATGTTAACATTCTCCCCGGTTCTGGTGGAGCGCTGCTGCAGCCCTCATTTCTCATCGCACATTGAGTAATACTTTGTGCATCTGACAGCTGGTAGCAGAAAGAGGCTCATTCACTGCAGGAACACCCCCCCCCCAAATGAGCAAACTACTCTTGTTTTTAACCAATCAACTCCTTGATTCGTGTTTTTACTAATAGTTCTTTTGGAGTCATGATGTATTCACTCAGTGTACAGACAGACAATTGAAATCGCTGACTCTAAGGAGAATGGTCCACTGAACGAGATGGACGTTCCCAAATTCCCCTGGTTAAAGCTTCTTGTGTTCAACACTTTCTCGTTTTTGCTTCGTGCTGAGCTTTCTAGCTTTTCTTTAGAACTGAGTTTATTGGACCTTCTAGCTAAAGCTGTTTCCTAAATTAACTGTATCTGCTTTCAAACTGTGTGATCACTTTGTTGTGTCTTAGCCATTGGCTTCTCAGCATTTCTGGTCTCATCAGATAAAGGAGGCACACCTGCCAGAAAGCATTACCTATTTTCCTGCAGTCTCTTGCCCATCTTTGAGGGTTTCAGCCAGGCAGTCTTTGGATTGCTCAGAATAAAAGCTAGTGAGACTGGCAGAGTGGTTCAAACTCAAATGGTAGGGTGGCTTCTTAGCAAGCATAAAGTGGGGTTCAAACCCCAGCACCCACCCCTCCAAAAGAAAAGCAAGCAATACTTGTAGCAAATGAATAAATGGTCCTATTTATGAGGCCTCAGTTGCTGGCCTACTTACATTGTGAGAGAATTATTTAAAACGTAATTATTACCTCCAAACTGTTCGATGCTATTTCTTCTATTGACCCCACAGCTGAAGGAGCTTATGTGACCAACACATCCACCAACAAAACACTGTCACGTGAACTACGTAGTTGATATATCGACAGCCCCAAAGGGAAAAAAAATAGAAAGAACTTGAATGAGTATTTGGTAGGCTGCATCTCATCAGCACCACAATTTTGACTTTTGCAAAATACTAGAAATCTCCATCCTTGACCCAATGTCCTTCATGTGTCTAATCCAGTTTTCTCATGATCGGCACTGTGTAATCTTGTCCCCTCACCTGCCAATCTGTCATTGAACTTCTCAACCTCTTTTCCTAAGTAGACCTTGTCCTTGGAGGATAGGAACTGAATTGGCAAAGGAAACAAATTTATGGCCTTCATAAAGACTCAGGGTGCTTTCTATTACCTCAAGTGGTTGCTTAACACATGTAGTGTTGTTTGTATTCGATAACTTTTTGTTCATTATATCCTCATGGTATCAGAACAGTTCCTGGGGAAAGCTTGGGAAGGGCGAATGCGCTTCAGCTGGAGCTCAAGTGAGGAACTGCTTGAGATTGCCCAGAGCTCTCCCTTCTCTACACCTCCACCTATGCCAATTAATCTTTCATCTTATTCCCCTCCGCTGGAATAAAATAGTACATTGTACTCTACTAAATCCACTGGACACCAGCATGGGAGATGTTGCATATTGAACGATGGTCAACGGTCTGGTATAACCTGGGGAAATTTCATTCTGGGGGACATTTCAATTTCCCCAAGGAAAAAATACCCCGTAGAATATGCCTGGTACATATGATGAAATGACACCTGGAAAAATACATACACAGCACATGAATGGTAACACAAGATCTCCACCATTTTGTTTGCATAAGCTCAACTTTTCTCCAACTTTAGCTTTTTAAGTTGCTCTTAATTAGCATGTAATAATTATGCATGTTTATGGAGCACATATGACATATGACATACAATCTGTGGCCGCCACCCCAGGGTGGTCTTTCTTTCTTTCTTTCTTTCTTTTTTTGGAGGGGGCCCTCTGGTCATGGGGCCTGAACTCTGGGCCTGGGCGCTGTCCCTCAGCTCTTCAGCTCAAGGCTAGCACTCTATCACTTGAGTCATAGCACCACTTTTGGCTTTTTTTTTCTTTTTGCTTATGTGGTGCTGGGGAATCGAACCATGCATGCAAGGCAAGCACTCTACCACTGAGCCACCTTCCCAGCCCTCCAGGGTGGTCTTTCTATCTATCATTTTAAAAAATACTTTCTAGGATCTTTCAGTACTTGTATAAGGGAGCTGCTATTTAACACAGCAGTTGATGAATACAGTATATCTTGATCAATGTCATATCATTCCTTTATAGATAAAGCTTTTGACCTCCTCTCTTCTACTTTTTATAACATATATAGTACGTTAATGTGACTTATAGTCACCCCGCCCTGGACATTGACAGCTTAGTCCCCCTGTCTAGTTGTGTTTCCTAACTTCCCTCTCTCCTTGCCCTTCTCATCTCATAAGCTGAGATTTCAGTTTTCTCCCAGATCATAAGGAGACAGATCTTCTGACCTGTCCTTTTATAATATTCTGACATACTGTTATATAACGAAAACAAAATACACCATATTGTTCAGAGGAGTTGCAGGTTTTATTATTTATTCACCAGGTTTTATCAGTGACTTCACTTCTCTATTCCTTTCTGGATATATTTTGAGATATTAAAAATGAACTTACATTAAGTTTTAATCAGGAAAACATTTTAAAAAGAAAAAATGATGAATAATAAAAGTGGCAAAAGCATGCATGAATAAAAATCTGCTTGCTATATATATCCTCGCTATAACAAAGTAGATTTACTTTTATTTATTCAGTATGCCTTGTCTAGCTAAGTACCTGCAAAATAATGAGCCTTTCCATTTGTATAGGTCTTTACTCAAATCTTCTTACCTGGGACATACACAAATACCCACTGAAAAGACCCAAATTAAGGAAATATTGCTTAGAATGATATGATTACTGAATCCTAGCACTTTGTATTTCCTTGTGCATATATTCATAAAAGCTCTAAAGAAATAGAAAACCTATTTCCTGCCTCCAAGTAGATTATACAAGAGTTGGGATGCAGGGATACATACTTACAGACAGTCTTACTTAGCAATTCAACTGACAACATAGATCAAAAGTTCAGCGTCTAATGCACTACCTACAGCATAGGTGGGAACTCAGAGGAAATTCAAAGATGATGGATGAATCGATGCGTGACTGGATGCAATGGATGGATGGTTGGATGGATGGGTAGATAGATGGATGGACAGAGCAAATGAGTTGACAAAATAGTCTAGAAGGGCAAAGCAGGGGTGTTTATTGGTCACAGATGGTTGAATTTCAATAAATCTCTTGATCTTTTTATTGGTCACAGAATACTTAAGGAAGGAGAAAATAGACCAACTTGTCCTCAAGGAACTTTAAAGAGTGGGGTTTGACTCTGAAGAAAGAAATAATGTGGGAATTTCAGGCCAAGGGCTCAGCATGAGCAAAAGCATTGAGATAGAAGCATCAGCCTCTGACTTAGTGAAAGCAAAATGTTTGAGGAGGGGGTTGTTCTCGGAGTCATGTAAGACAATAGCATAGAACACCACAAGTTTGAAGCTTTAGTGTGTTTAAATAATGCATAAAGCCATGCAGCTGTAGGACTTTTTGTATAATATAACGAAATTTGAAAATCATACTAGGCCTAATCTGATAGAAGCATGACTTAGTGCCGAAGATAATAATACAAGAGAATGAAGATTTTAAGTATTCACCTGAGAATTTAAAGCATTTGGGGAAAGTACTGCACAAGTAAATGTCGCTAAGTCATCATAAAAATATTTCTGTGCCTAATTGACATTTCTGAAACAGTTCTATCAAATTCAGCTTTGGCTCGATGAGTATTCTAATTGAGAACTAGCAGCTGCAAAGACAAGAGGCTGCCCTAAAAATCTAGAGGCCTACAAGTATTTTATGCATATGATTGAAGGAATTTTTCACACACTGGAAGAAGGCAATTTTATGTCTTCTGGGGTCTTTAACCTAATTTACTAGATATGTCAAAAAACTGGTATTTCTTGCATGTGAGTTTTACTTACACTCTGAGGAACTGGTTATCTTATCACCTTCCTTTAAAGCTACTAGTGGTTTTATTGTACAAAAGCAGCTGTGCCATTCTTTTCTAAGGTAAATAGTGAACAGCACAGGCCTGGTGCAAACATTGTGGGTTAGAATCCAGCTTCAAGCACCAATATGTGGGTCCACTTCTGCTAAGATTCTCTGTTCCTCTGATGGCAACCAGACTACCATCCTTAGACTGTTGGCAAGACTCCATGTAAAAATTGTAGGCCATTTTCCAGCATGTAGTAACACATAATCAGTGGATAATTTATCATCGTCTTATTTTCTTCTTGTGAGGATGACTGGTTTGGGTTGGGTTTTTTCCATCTTGGCCCAATCCCCAACTCTGAACCCCTGGGATGTCTGAGGTCTTGGTGTGAGTGACATTGTCGCTCAACATGTGTGGTATTGTAGGCTGCTCCTAACTGCGTGGATGCTAACCAGCTTCCTGTCTTTGACAGTGAGCCACCTTTATGGATTTGGACTGATGGATGCAGAAGCCATGGTGATGGAGGCGGAGAAGTGGACCACAGTTCCTCAGCAACACGTATGTGTGGAGAGCACAGACCGACAGATCAAGTAAGCTTTCCTGCCACTCGGTGTCCCGAAACTGTCCCCAGACCAATGGCCAGCACCCTTTCACCACAGCTCTTTGTTGCCCATGGAATCTAGACACTAGTACTGTCGTTTCTTTCTAAGGTGATTACAAAATCGTGGGAGAATGTCTAGGATTCCAAATCCCCACGGGTAGAATACACACATCCGTCAAAGAGAGGTTTCCTGTGAAATAGTACTGGGAGAGTCCTTCCCAGGGACCTCCCAAAGCTTTCTACTGCCCAATATTTGATGGAGAAACATTTCTTCAGAAGTCTGTGTACTTCAACACTGAACTTGATGTTCTAGGAACTGAACTCCATAACGAGTTGTTCTCCAGAAGGCAAACGTCGAGAAAGTGAGATTATACTTTGCTCAGAGATTGGAGGACTTATTCCTCAGCATTAGTCAGATACACTGGGAGGTGTACTCATGGTTAAGTCACAATAATGTAGTTAATTGTATTAGTTGTGTTAACGGTTGTGTGAATTCACACCAGTTGCTAAATCCCATGAATGGCCTCATTCGTGTTTTGCTCTTGCCTTAAGCCACCTGGGCAGAAAAGTTTGTGAGATGCTGCTTATCTCCAGTCAACTTGGATTATGCCAGGAGTTGAACTAGGGCTAGTGTGGCTGGAAGCTAGGAAAACATGACTGTTGGTAAGAAGTTGGTAGGGCCCAGAACTGGAATCAGGTTGTGAGAACCCCCCCCCCCAAGCCTCCACTCTACCACAGCACAGTAGTTCTCCAAGTGTATTCCAGAGGTCAACAATGTCACTGTCACCTAGGAACGGATCAGAAACAAAAATGCTTGGTGTCTACTCCAGACCTACAGTCAGCCACTTAGATATCGGGGCTATTGGAAGTGATTCCTATGCTTATTCAGGTGTGATTCCCGCACCTCGACAGACAGAAGAACCTTACTCCCCCTTCTCCTTTCTCCCGGTCTAACCAGTGACGCAATCATTTGTTTGCTGGCAAGGTTGCCATTTAGTGTCCCATGACTAAGCTGCTTTGCTGGGGCACTTGTTCCAAGCCTCCAGGTTTGTTTGCCTGAGCTCTGCCATACAACGTCTTCCAACTCATTCCTCTCTGTCCGGCAGGACCATTCGCCCCAACAGCGCTGTCCGTTCCATCTACAAAGCCTCGGGCTGTTCCGACAACTCCAACCACCATGTCAACTACCTGGAACACGTAGTCGTACGCATTACCATCACCCACCCTCGAAGAGGAGATCTAGCCATCTACCTGACTTCTCCCTCCGGAACCAGATCGCAGCTTTTGGCCAACAGGTACAGCGATGGTTTCTGTCACAACAGCCCTGAGCTGTCTTTTAGGTCCTGCGTGCTTCTCTGGGGGTCATCTGAGGAGGATGGGAAGGTCACGATGTCGCCATCTAGAGGCTGGAGTGTGGCATCTCACAGTTGGGCAATAGAAGGATGCTGCAGAATGATTGACAACCACTTCAAGAGGCCAGGTGTGGCTGTTGGCGGTGGTCTCAGGGCTGCTCCCTTCAGTCTTCATTACCTAATGGATGCCAGCTTCTCCTATCTGTCCTTTCCCTCTTCTTATTCTCATACCTTTTGTCCACAGTAAAGTAATGATGGTATACAAGCTGGAATCTTGCCAAAAGAATAAGTCCAGAACATTCAGGCACGAGTTTCCTTTTGCTCCGTGCATGGGAGTTGTCAATGGGAACTGTCAGGTTGTCTTACAGAACTCATTCACATAATGCTTCGTGTGTGTGTGTGTGTGTGTGTGTGTGTGTGTGTGTGTGGTGTGTGTCAGTACTAGAGCTTGAACTCTGTGTTCCTCGATGCTGTCCCTCAGCTTTTTTACTCAAGGCAGACAATTTACCACTTGAGCCATAGCTCCACTTCCAGCCTTTGGTTGGTTAATTGAAGATAAGAGTCTCACATACATTCTGGCCTGGGCTGGCTTGGCACCATGATCCTCAAATCTCCACCTCCTGAGTAGCTGGGATTACAGATATAAGTGACAGGCACCTGGCCAGCTACTTTTTTTATAGTTCAAAACTTGACCCACTATATAAAAAAGTGGCAAAAATTAAGCCATAGCATCTCTAGGTGAGTGTTTAAAAGTACAGAGCTAGAAATATTCAGTGGGGTTGATTTCTGTGCTTAGAGACTTTCTGTATTCTTCTTATAAAACCAACATCTCCTCCTGGGCCTGGAAAAACTTGGGCTTCATACTTTATCTATGAAGTGCAGCTTCGCTAGAAATAAGTATGCAGGTGCAAGAAACATCAGTGTCTCTTGACATTGGATTCTTCTATTCCCTTTCCTGCTGTGGCCTGCCAGGTGACTGCCCTCACCTGCCTGTCACTTCTTTCCAGCAAGCAATTATATGATTTATGGAGGTCTTACCAACCATTGTTACCCAAGCAAGGGGAAACCTTTATTACTGTTTTTTAATCTCTAATATTATTCACCTTGTGTTGACTGGACAGACTGTCCTGATCAAACACTGAAAGATTCTAGATTTGCTTCACATACATGTGGCCATCATCCATGTTGTTGTTTGCTTGGGCAATTCAAGTGTCTTGGTCCTTCCTTCATCTTTCCTGCTTAGTTTAATTAGCTTCCTTCAAAATAATGTCAGTGGGAAAACTTGGGGGCAGAGGACCTACGGGTTCCAAAACATACATTTGCTGGATTGCAAGGTCACTGGCTCCAACCTCAAATGCATTCCTCTACACCTGACGTCGGCTTTGCAAATTACCTAATGCAAGGGTCTCTTGTGACCAGCATCAGAGATGAGAAAAAGGCACTTGGGATGCTCGGAAAGCAATGCATACAAGATTGACATCCATTTCCTTCATTAAAATTGCACCCAGTGCCCTGATCTACCACATCTTGCATTTTGTACATCTTCCATCTGAATCTTGAGAAGATGTAGCCATCGATAAAGAAGTAGTAAGAGTGGAAAGGGCTGAAGGTGCCAACAGGTAGAAAGGATGTTATGAATCTATTTGTCTAAAGCTCCCTGAATACACTACTCAGGACAGTTGATATATATAATGGGAAACAGCCGTACCAGTCCCCAAACCACCTACAGCCACTTTCTAGGGTGGCCTATTTCCTCTGTCTTACGGTACAGGTACTGGTAGCACCTCCTCTAACCCAGAAAACTAAAGGAAGACTATTTCTCTTTTTTTTATTATTGTTATTATAGAGGTGATGCACAGAGGGGGTTGCAGTTACATTAGCCAGCTAATGAGTACATTTCTTTTTGAAGTGTCACCTCTTCTCTCATATTCTCCCAGTTTTTCTCTCATAATCTTCCTCTCCCACAAAAGTATATAGTTCATTTGTCAACATAGAAGGGTTTTGTTATTTTTTGTTATTGTTGTTTTGATTTCATTTGCTTTTTGTTTTTGTTTTCTCCCTTGTGGCTGTTTTTGATATCTGTACCTTTTGTCTTGTATGTAAGTTTCTCTGCTTGGGGAGGGGAAGGGAGGAGCACAGAAAGGGAGGGGAACAAAGGGTGAACAATTGCAGCAGTGATACTCACTAGACACTATGTTGAAAGACTCTTTCTTTTGACTTTTTTCCCCCTTCCTACACATTCTGAGACATTCATTGTTTTAGAGACAAGTTCTGCCTGAAAACTAGGGGCCTAGACATCTGATATCTTCTCACCTTGACCCTGGTTCAAATACCAACCTGGATAGGAAGCTGAGATTTGGGAACACGAGAGAGACAGAGGATGAAGGAAGAGCTGAAATGCTCCTGGCATCCTTCATGTCCCTCTGCAAGGCAGTTATTCTCCTCAAGGAAAACATGACTAAAGTCATATTTTAGCAAGAATCAGTGAGTCATAGATCCTCTGCTGGACACTTGCCTTTTATGTCAAGGAACTGTAGATTGTTAATGAGCCATGGTGGAATTTGTCAGGAGGTCAGATGAATGCGAGTTCAAGGCCCACCTGGTCTGCACAGGGAGACTCACCTCTCAAAAGGCAAGCAAAGAACTTAAGCTACCTGAGCAAAGGCACAGAAAGCAAGGAGTGGAGTGAGAGTGTATGAATAATGAAAGACTAAACAAAGTCCACAGCAGGGCCAGTGTGACATGACAACGCATGTAGCTTTGTCATGGCTGAGTTAGCTGATTTCAGCTGTCCTACATCTATTGAAGACAGACTCCTTTTCTCCCAGACATTGAGTTCCCTATAGCCCATCTTTGCTAGCCTGGCAGAAGGGTGAAAACAAACAAACAAACAATGATTTTGAAGCAGCCTAGACACACCATGGATTAGTCAGTCCACTGAAGTATAGATGCATGGGAACCACTTGGCCTCCCAATCTGGGACTTTCTTTTTGGTTACGATTCCTGCGCCCTTCTTTTCCTGGGCTTTCCAATGAAGGTTTTTTCTCAGAACTGTTTCTGTCCTCCCCCACAATAGTACCTTTTCTGCAACCTTTTCGGTTGCATCTATGTGGGCCGTCTGGAGCCCCTTGGTGGCTCCCTGTCCTGGCTGATGGGCAAGTACCCGAGCTCCTGTGGAGAGCAGCTGCTTGGAAGAGAATGGTTTGCCCGAGCTGCAGGTGCGGAGCACTGGAAGGCTCTCGGCAGCATTCAGAACTCCAGTCCAACTTGAACTCCAGCCCCATTAGCTCAGCAGGAAGCTCCCCTGGCAAACCGTGTTGATAATTGAAGGGCTTGGAATTGTGGGTCAACAGATCAGTCCTAGGGTAGACAAATGGATACTAACTTCCCTCTCCTTTGTTCTTCTCTTGCCTGTCCCCATCCACCCTTTCAAGAATTCTTCTTGGCCTCTGTCCCTTCCCTAACAAAAAGCCAAACTGCCTATTCAGTTCAGTATACTGGGATGCAGTCTATGGAGGTCAGGTGTGTTGGGAGAAGCCACAGTGGCTGGGGTTTCTTTGAAAATGCTTTTAGGTAAGAGCGGTTTGTCTAATGGAAGGTTTTAAGGATGACAATCACATTCATTCTGCCAGAATAAAAGATTTTCTCACAAAAGCTTGTGCCCTCAGATTCTTCTTTCAACTGTATTTGTGAGCGTGACAAAGAACCGTGAGGCCCCTTCTCCACCCCATCAGCCACCTGAAAATGATTGCCACTCCCCCTCCTTGGGTTTTCGATTTAGCCCGGCTGTATTGGCTTTCTGTTCCAAATTTTAGCCTGGAACTGAAAGCTGAGACTTCGCCTTGCTTCCTAAATTTGATTACAGAAGACTATCTCTGCTTCTAATTATGGATTTAAGTAGAAAGGAGGTATGCTTTCTAGTCTGAAACAAAACAAAACAAAACATACATTTCTGTAGTTAGCTATGTTCAAAAATGCAGTGTGTATATTTCACTCCTTTTTGTTACACTGCAAAAATTGTTCAGTGACAACCCCATGGATCATTGTGAACACCTTTACAGCAGGATGCATCTGTGGCTCATCACGAGAAGTATACTTCCACACTAAAGGTTTCATATTCCAGGAAGGTGCTATGGTACAGCTGGATTCCCTCATTCAAAACCAACCTTTAGAGTTGGACAGAAGTGAATTTCCTCATTTATACAAGAGATGTAATGGTGTCTGCCTCAGAAGATTGTTAGTAAGCTATCTTAATCTTACAGTGAGAGCTTAGTTTATAAGTAAGTGGTATCCTATTTACATAGTGCTTATCAAAATCAGTGGTTCATCAAACCTAGGCCCCTCCCAAAGTTGCTGGTTCTATTAGTCTGGGGCAAGGCCCAAGGAATATCATTTCTAGTATGTTCCCAGGAAAGAATGAAGGTACCTGTCTCTTAACCATCCCTCAGTCTTAATTTAAAAGATCACATAGATCCACACTCAGGTGACTCACACCTAAAATCCCAGATACTCAGGAGGCTGAGGTCTAAGGATGATGGTTCAAAGCCAGCCCAGGCAGGAAAATCCCTGAGACTTATCTCCAATTAACCACCAGAATGCCAGAGCTCAAAGTAGAAGAGCACTAGCCTTGAGCAAATATCACTCAGGCCCTGAATTCAAGCCCCACCACTGACCAAAAATTAAACTCATTTAGCTTTTATACATATATTTTTATTATTTTTGTGTCATAAAAAGATCTGTGGGTAGTGTGTTGTTCAATGCTAAGCAAGTCATTTACAAAGGAGATGATAAGATAAAGCAGATTTTTAGATAAAAGCCATCTTCTCTAAGTTGGAATAAATCTTCCACCAGATTAAATGCTTCCATCATATTGTCTCCAAAGAGGATGTGGCTGGGAGGTTAGTGAATGACTTGATACTAATATGCATGTCATTCTTTTAGATTTTCCAAACCTCTAGAAACAGTACCTTTTTCTCAGCTTTTTTTTTTGTCAGTCATGGGGCTTAAACCCTGGACCTGAACGCTGTCCCTCAGCTCTTCAGCTCAAGGCTAGCACTCTACCACTTTGAGCCACAGTACCACTTCCAGTTTCCTGGTGGTTAATTGTAGATAACAGTCTCATGGACTTTCCTGCCTAGGCTGCCTTTGAACTGCAATCCTAAGATCTCAGCTTCCTGAGCAGCTAGGATTATAGGCGTGAGCCACCAGCACCCAGCTCTCAGCTTTTCTTAAACAAGCAAGTTAGATTAGGAGAAAGAGAACTGTTTGTGTTAAATACCTTATAATCAAAAGTAAAGCATCTAAATCTTACAGAAGTTAACTGTCTATACAGACATACACACAGAGAGAGAGACACACACATACACAATCTCAGTTACATTTGCCCCAAATGAGTGCTTTAATCATTCTATAAACAGTGTTTTAAATTATGATGAAGCTTTACAAAAGTACATAAAAATTAATAAGCTAAAGAGAAAACAGAAAAGAAAAATCTTCAAAGAATATTGGTCTAATGTTTACATCTGTAGTGATAAATACTGTTTGAGTAGCTGTGGGTGATTCTGAAGGTAAGATCCTTTTACAATTTTAGAAATAATTATAGGATAACACATGGCCGTCACTACTTACAAAATGCCTTGTTACTCAGTTTCTGTAACATCACTAAAAATGTTGTATCCTTGATACATTAGACTCTTTAAGTAGAAGGGAGGGACAAAAAGGCATACAGTAATTATATGAGTTATTTCCTGAGTTAATTCCTCAGAAAGCTGTACTACAGTTAATGGAAGTCTTCTTTTTTTAACCAGGGTTCATCTAAAGTAATTTATTGGAAAACCACTCATGGGAACAGAGCTGCGGGGCATAATTTTAACAACTGGCTGTATAACCTGTGCTACCGTGTAGATCATTTCACTGAGCATGTGAGTGTGAAGTCAGCATGGATGGGGCTGACTTTCACTGCCCCAGGAAACGTGGATACAGGCACAGAGGTCAGCCCTGGGGGCTTTCAGCGCACTGGCACTGTTGTTATTATGCTCACACACACAGTGTCAGGTCTGCCCCTGTCGCAAAGTATAGACCTTCAAACGGGGCCTTAGATTTTCTAGTTGAGGATAGCTACCGCATAGTAAGAATCTGCCTTAGCTCTCCGTGGTTCCATACGCTATTGTCATATTGGCAAATAGGTTCTTCACAATATCAAGCCACATTATCATCATCGTCATCACCATCATCGAGCGTTTATTATATGCAAAGAATGCAGTTGGTGTTTGCCACTAATGGGACTTGAATTCAAGGCTTGGCCACTGTCCCTTAGCTTTTTCGCTCAAGGCTGGCACTCTACCACTTGAGCCACACCTCTGCTTTCAACTTTTTGGCGGTTGATTAAGAATAAGAGTCTCACTCATAGAATATTCTTGCGCAGGCTGGCTTCGAACCAAAATCTTCAGATCTCAGCCTCTTGAGTAAGCTAGATTGCAGGCATGAGTGACCGGCACCTGGCAAGACGCAGCTTTGGTTTTCCTTTTACTGAAAGTACAAAATAATCAAAAGGATGAATAGAATCCTAGTGTGAAGTCTACCTACTTAAACCATCTCCATAGTTACCAAGGGTCATGTGAAACTGGGAACATGGACACAATCGCCCCTGTCATTTTTGTTCTCTGCATGCCTGTGAAATCAATGAACATTCCAGCTCTGTAAGGTGAAGAAAGCAGGGTGGGCCCAGACATAAACAAGGCCATTGATATTTGGGCTTTGAAATAGTTACTTGAATTGTAACTTACAGATATCTTTCTTTTTTCAAGTTTTTTTTTTTGGTACCCACTTTCTATTTAATTTTGTTGTTCCAAATGTGGCTTGAGACTGGTGGGTAGCGGCAAGGAATCGATTTCAAAGGTGGACAAGAAAGAGCAGAAAGAGAAAGATCTAGAGCCTACTAATTCAGCCCTCAAGTGACCCATGTGAAATTATAAGTTGGCCGCAGGGGTGGAAACAAGACTTGCCCCCCGTCTGATGCCAGCCACAGTCTCCTTTGTAGTTTTCAGATGTGAGGCAAGGCATCCAGTGTTCTGTCTGAACTGTTTGGGAATGCCTTTTAAGTTCAGCGCTCTTGGAGAGATATTGTATGTGACATGTTATTGCTCCAAATGCCACCGTGGTTTCAACAAATTAGAGTTCAAGGAAGAGCTGTGGAGCGGTTGGGAAAGGAGTTCTGAAGTGTTTTTCCTTCTGCATCCATTTCAATGTCAACAGACTTCCCTTCATAGTGTCCCCAGCAAAAAGGCCAGGCTAGCACAACTCCTCCTCCCCATCCCTGCTTTGTGTACCTTTGCCCAGTTTATGAACATCTCAGGTGCTACGCAAGGGATTGTGTGGGTGCATGTTGATTACATAACAACCCAGAAATTTCTTCTTAGCCCAAAAATGTGTCTTCCTAATTCTCTTGAGGATCAGTTACAGTACTCTGAGTGTGTGTGTGTGTGTGTGTGTGTGTGTGTGTGTGTGTGTGTGTGTTGGACCTTGAACATCGTGCTCTCACTTGGCTTTTTACTCAAGACAGGCATTCTACCCCTTAAGCCACACATCCAGCTTGCGGCATTTTGATCAAACATGGATAAAATCATTTTTAAGATCAGTTTTCTAATACGTTGTTTTAAGATTAAGTCTGTTTTTCAAATGTCTCCCCCTTTTTCTTCCCCAGGGGAAGATCTGCCTAGAAAATCACTCTTTAACCATTCGTGTATTCAGGCAGCCTACAATTAGAGCCAGGAGAGTGGCTGGAATATTCTCAGTAGCCATCAACATCCAGTAACTGGAGACCTTTGGTGCCCTCTCCACTGAAAACCAGCACCTGGACATAGTTGCTTCTAAGACAGGGCGAGAGCTATCTTTCCTGCCTAGTTTAATCTCTCATGGTGTCCTCCCTTACGAAGGAAGGTGCATTTGCCTGGCCAACCCTTACATAACACAATAACCTAGGACAAATGTGACATCCAGGATAAACACAAGCTCCAGTACACAACTGAATGTTGTGTACGAAAAAGATCTTTGAGCTTACCTTGAATGGTCTGTCCTCACTGGGTCTTAAAAGCATGACTGGAACCTAAGGATGTAACGGAATTTTCCTGGTCTTTTTCAGGTTATTTGATCATTCCATGGAAGGATTTAAAAACTGGGAGTTTATGACCATTCATTGCTGGGGAGAACGGGCTGCCGGTGACTGGGTCCTGGAAGTGTATGATACCCCCTCGCAGCTGAGGAATTTCAAGACCCCAGGTGAGAAATCCTTTTGCCCTTAATCCATTTATAGCGTAGACGAAAACAATGGAGTCTGTATTGTGTTCAAAGAGTATTTTACCGTTTTGTTCGTTTTGTGTTTCTAAGATGGAATACCCATCTTGGTATTTTATACGAAGGTCTATCAACTGACATAGTTTTATACCAAGGTCTAACTGACATAGTTCCGAGCACTCATGAACTCGATGCTAGCATCTGCCTCAGAGTGACAGAGAGCTTGTGTGGCAGAGACCGAGCATGTGGGACAGCCTTGCTTATAAGGAATTAATTCCCCCACTCACAAAAGCTCAGTCCCTGACCTCGTTATCTTCCAGTAGACCCAGCACACTACAGATAAAGTGTGCAACACATGAGCTACATCCCAACCAAAACAGCACTAGATACCAGCATCACCCTTCTTTATGCTATTTATTTCTTATACATCTTGATCCATCTGCACGTATTCTAGTTCTCAAAACTACATGGGCACTGGGTGCCAGTGTCTAAGCAAGGGGCTACTAGCTCATGCTGCCATCCTAGCTACTCGGGAAGCTGAGATCTGAGGACCACAGTTCAAAGCCACCCTAGACAGGAAAGTCTTTAAGACTCCTGTCTCCCATTAATCACCAAAAAGTAAAAGATGGAACTGTGGTTCAGAGAGGTAGAGTGCTAATCTTGAGCATAAAAGCTCAAGGAGAGCGCTCAGGCCTTGAGTTCAAGCATCAGGTCCAGGACCCAGTTTATCTGATTTGGGGAGAGGGAGGGGAAGCACAGGAATGGTAGGACAAAGGGTGAATCAACTCAACAGTGATATCCACTAGACACTGTGTTGGAAATACACTATACAACTTGGGAGGGTCAAAACTGGGAGAAAATAAGGGAGAGAGGGACACTGTTAAGAGAGAAATGTACTCATTTCCTGACGTATGCAAGTGTCACCTACCCCTCTGTACATCACCTTTACAACAGAATTTAAATAAAAAAGAACATTGGATACTAAAATATGAAATGCCATCTGAAAATTACATACCTGTAATTCCAGCTACTCAGAAGGCTGAGCTCTGAGGATCCCAGTTCAAAGCCAGCCCAGGCAGGAAAGTCAGTTAAGACTCGTATCTCCAATTAACCCCAGAAGTGTAGCTGTGGCTTAACGTGGTAGAGTAATAGCCTTGAGTGAAAAAGCTCAGAGACAGTGCCCAGACCCTGAATTCAAGCCCACAACTGACCAAAATAAAACCCATGGAAATTGAGATATTAACCACATCTTTGCTGGTAATCTCAAACTCAGCAGCTAAGTTCTTTCCCCATGTGACTCTCTGAAGCTTATTTGTGGCAACTGAAAAGAGAAATAGAAAATCCAGCCCTGGGTAGGAGATCCTGTTCTGTAGAGAGTGCTTGGCTCAGTATTTGAAAACTAACCAACCCGGTGATGGTGGCTCACGCCTGTAACCTTAGCTACTCAGGAGGCTGAGATCTGAGGATCACAGTTCAAAGCCAGCCCAGGCAGGAAAGCCCATGAGACTCTTATCTCCAATTAACCACCAGAAAACTGGAAGTAGTGCTGTGGCTCAAGTGGTAGAGTGCTAAGCATGAGCTGAAGAGCTGAGGGACAGTGCCCAGGCCCAGAGTTCAAGCCCCATGATTGACAATAAAAAAAAAAGTCAGGTATCAGTAGCTCATGTCCATATTCCTAGCTACTCAGGAGATTGAGATTGAGGATCATGTTTGAACCAGACTAGGCAGGAAAGTCCTAGAGAATCTTATTTCGAATTAACTATGTGTCCTATCTCCGTTCCCCCCTCCAAAAAAAAAAAAAAAAAACTTGAAAGTGGTGCTGTGGTTCAAGTGGTAGCGAGCATTAACCTTGAACAGAAAAACTCAGGGACAGCATACAAGCCCTGAGTTCAAGCCCCAGGACTGGCACACACACAAAAAAGTGAGTATTTGCTGAAGCTGTGCTTTCATTCTTACGTCTCCAGGTAAATTGAAAGAGTGGTCCTTGGTCCTGTATGGCACATCGGTGCAGCCGTACTCCCCCACCAACGAGTTTCCCAAAGTGGAGCGTTTCCGCTACAGCCGCGTGGAAGACCCCACGGACGACTATGGAACCGAGGATTACGCAGGTGAGCTGGCTTCCAAGGGGCCACTGCCAAGAAAATGTATGCATCACCTGTGCCGTGTGGCATCCTGTAAGACGATGTCATAAGACAGGATGCCACTATAAAACAGAATATACCAATACAATATAATAACCCATATTCTGATACAGTTTCTTCCATTTCCTGAAATATGTGTGTGTTTAGTGGCTTATTCAGACGATCATGTGTAGTGTACAAAGCTAATACTCTGTACTGTGGTTATACTGTGAGTTATTGTAGCCATAATCTGAGATGGGTAGTCTACACTGCTTTAAACAAGGTTCAGACAATAAACAATACTTATCCATGTTTTCTGCATCTTCAGCTATTCCTTTAGCACAGAGTTCTGGACTGAAGTTCTGGACATCATCCTAACCCTAACCCTCACCCTAACCCTATCCCAAACACTCACCCTAACCCTAACCCTCACCCTCACCCTAATCCTCACCCTAACCCTAACCCTAATCCTCACCCTCACCCTAACCCTCACCCTCACCCTAGCCCTCACCCTAACCTAACCCTAATCCTAACCCTCACCCTCACCCTCAGCCTCAGCCTAAACCTAACCTAACCTAAACCTAAATCTAGACATTTTTCACCTGTAATTTCTCACTTAAATACAACTCTCTTATACCCATTTTTACCTTCCAGGTGGCAATGATTCTCTTACCAGTTTGTAAGAATTGTCTGTGTTGCTGCCTTATACTCTTGTTTGCTGAAAACACATTCCCAGACATAATTGGTATTTTGTAATATTTTTAACCAGGAACAGTATGGCAGAATGTAGAGTGACATTTAAGATAAAACATTTGTAATTTTTGCAAATTGTACCCTTTATTATCAACTAAATAGTGACTTTTTTTGTTGTTCAGCCATTAACTCATCTAGAACTTATTTTATTTAGTTAAATTCGAAACTATTTTTAAACCTGTACTGATAGCTACTTGTATGGAGGTGTGTGTAATGATAGCTACTTGTGTGGAGGTGTGTGTGGAGTTTAAACCTCATCTCAACCAATGACTGGGCACAGTGCCTTACACCTGTTATCCCAGCAACCAGGGAAACAGTGCTGAGTGTCATGTCTTCCCCAGCACCATAGGAATATTGCAGTCTTGAGCGAATGGTGCATAAAAGACTGCTGCTTAGAAACCAGTCAGTAGAACAGGACTATGAACTCATGGCACAGTGTTGCCTAGCAAGCATCAACACCATGAGTTCAATTCCCAATGCAGCAAACAAACAAAAAACCTAGCCAGGAGCTGGTGGCTCACGCCTGTCATTCTAGCTACTCAGGAGGCTGAGATCTGAGGATGGCAGTTCAAAGCCAGCCTGGGCAAGAAAGTCTATGAGACTCTGATCTCCAATTCACCAGAGTAGAGCTGTGGCTCACAGTGGTAGAGCTCTAGCCTTGAGCAAAGAGGCTCAGGGACAGCCCAGGCCCTGAGTTTCAAGCCCCACAACTGACCAAAGGAAAACAAAAACCTATTTTAGCTATCTTCCAAATAGATTAAATCATTGATGGGCCAATTCTTTTTTTTTAAATCAAGTCTCTACCTTTTTTCACTCATCAGTGCAAAACTTCTCAGACTTATATAACTGATGCTATTTTATTTATATTTTCTCTCTCTCATTCTCTCTCTTTCATAGGGTCTTTGAGCATGCTAACTAGAAGCCCTATCAACATCTTGAGCCCTTATAATGTATGTTAATATTTGTAGAGCACACATGGAAATTTAATTTGAATTTACTTGCAGTCTAAGAGGAGGAATTTTTTTTTTTTACAATACCGAGTCTTTCCAGATAAAACATAAACCAGGTCTCATTATACTGAAATCTTTTAATTATGCCCATGCAATTTTCTTCATATTATTGTTATATTTTAGTCTTCTTGCTCTTATGATACAGAACATTTTATCTGATGTCTGGCCACAGTTCTTAATTCTTGTATTAATTTATTCATTTTGAAGTTGATTTGTGGGGTAGTGTAGGTTCTTTTTGGTATCAAATAACTTTTATTTACATAATTTATATCTATAGAATATAACTACTTTCTTTAGAACAAGAAAACTTACAAATGACAGATCTTGCTTCTTTGGTCAAAGATGCCTTCAAGCAAACTAATAGACATAGTCACTCCTATTTAATATGGTGGTAAACAGTAATACTAATCTTTACATCTGCTCATCAGTCGCTTACCAACAATTACAGACTTTTAAACCATCGTGTTAGTCACTTGCTAAGATTTGAATATTTAGGAGGAAAGGACAAGAAAAGATAAAGCCTTTAATTCTCTTTTAAGATTTTCTTTTAATTTGTATTGTTGGTGGGGGGAGGCAGGGGGCTTGAACTCAGGGCCTGTGCCCTGTCCCTGAGCTTTTTCACTCATGGCTAGTGCGCTACCACTTGGAGCCACAGCGCCACTTCCTTCTTTAAAGATTTCTAAAATAAATCGTTTACAACATCCTCTTGCATCAATCAGACTTAACAGATCTTTCTACCTGGCAAGATAAAGACACCGAGGAAGCTTCTCTTTCTTCTAAGATCTGTTTTGAGGATCTAACAGTAGGAAAAATCTGTTGACATAGTGACACTCCACACAATGAATAGCGCTGTATTCTTTATACAGTAAGCCATTACGTCTTCCAGAAAATTGGTTTAGTGTATATGAACAAGAGACAAATTTGAACCAAGCCAAGAAACAAATACAATAAAGGGCTAAATAATAGCTCAGTAATAGCAATGTGATATTCCAACTAACATTACTTATGTAACTAATCAGAACATGAAATTTTTTTAAATTTTACAAAAACAGGGTATTAAAGTAGCAGTGATTTACTATTATGATCTTTGTGACAAAGTCACGTGAGATCAATGTATATTTATAATTTCCACTTGGGTTTTTGTTTGCCCTTCATTAAAAAAAAAACAAATAAAACAAAACCCAAACACCATAAATTTCACTAGAAGCCAATCAATAAGAAGTGCTCTAATCCCAGATTTCAACACATTAACATCACTATCTGCAGATTGTGCATTTGTCGTTGTCATATTTCTCATTCCTTATCTTATTGTGCAGGCTACCATTTGCAATAGAATCAAGTGTTTCTGAGATATAATGAGTGTATAATAGTTAATGCATACAGCTTTGATAATAGAGAGTTATTTATAAATAGAAATATAATGTAGCTGTAGACAAGAAATATTTCATCCCTGCAGTTCTGGGAGTTTTGTCCACATACTAAGTTAAGTGTACCTCATTAATCACCTAAAAGAATATCTAAAATATTCATAAAGTTCCTTTTATTCTAAGCAGGTAGTATCCTAGAGTCAATTACATGCTTAATATGTGAAGTCTAACAGAGCTAAGCAGAGCAAGATTGTGTTAGATTTTGTTTTATCTTATTTGGCCTTGGGCTTATAGTATTACTATTTATGCTATAAATAGCAAGCTTTGTTAAAACAATATTTTGGTGCCCGTCCTGAGGCTTGAATTCAAGGCCTGGCTCTGCCCCTGAGCTGCTTTTTATTCAAGGCTAGTGCTCTACCATTTGAGCCACAGCTGCACTTGTGGCTTTTGGAGGGAAGGGTTGATAGTTTAATGGAAAGAAGAGTCTCACAGATTTTCCTGCTTAGGTTGGCTTTGAACCATAGACCTCAGATCTCAGATCTCAGGTTAGTGAGTTAGCGATCCATTTTCATTTTTTTCTGACCTGTAAATGGAGCACAATTCCATAACATTTAAGTCTGGTTGTACTCAAATTCTGCTAATGTTTTTAATTCAAATTTGGGTTAATATTGTGGCCATTGTGAACACAGTTGTACCTCTCTGTGGTTTTTCTGATTACATCTCTCAAACATTGATATTGGCTCTTAGGAGAGAACAAAGACAATTATTCCATGATTATCCTCTAACCTACTATGCTAGTCTGCATCTGGGACCGTTTAAGATTATAACTGAAATAGCAAAGCATGTGAACCTGCCATAGAGAATCTTTTGGGCACATACCAAAAAAATAAACGCTTTTAGGATTTTATTAAAGTCTAGAAGTCATCTGGTGAAAATTTCGGGCCACCCATGACTCCTCTCCTTTGCAGCTATGATTTTTACCATCATTTAGAAGCCAACCTGACTAGAGGCACAGATGGCATTATCATAACCAGATCCTAGACTGTTTCATTGAGTCCCAGGGACTATGAAATCCACAGCTGACTAAACTTAACCCTGTCGCCACACAGTGACCCTCTCACTGGTGTATGGTGATGGACAGCTAAACTGTAGTAATAATAATAACAATAGCAGTGAGGTTTAATTTGGAGATTAAGGCTGCTGGGGAAAATAGTAATAGAAATGAACAATAATGTCAAATGACTTGCAATTCATCAAACATGTATTTGAAGCCTGCAGCAATTCTCTAAGTCAGGTGACGAGTACAGTGCTTCTTGGTCAGTGTTTCTCCTTCCTCTCAAGTCTGCAGCATTTTTAAATGACATACATTTCTATTTAAATGAAGAGGTCATTTCAGGTGCATGGTTTGCTACCCCTAAACAAGATGTTTGTTGATCACAACTCTCCTAGGTCTATGGTAGTCAGCCAGCCACTGAAACTCTGGGAAAAATCAGTTTTTTCATCAGTAAAATGAGTGTTTGGTTTCCAGCCTTTTCCCCCCCCAAGTCATGTTAACATTCTACATTTTTGCAATTCAATAATTATAGCATATAGTTTCATAATGAGTAACAGATCATGTAAGTTTCAACAGTGAGGCCTTTTGATTAAAGCAAGAAGGATTCAAAACATTTCTGGTACTTTTAACTTGATATTTGCATGTTTCGTGTAATTATTTATTGATAGTTAAAATCATGAATTTTCAGTGGAGAAGAACAGGAAGATTATGAGATCAAATACACTAAAATATGAAGATGAAGGAAATGAAGTTTAAAAGATGCTTTAAGTAGCTATTAAATGCTATTAAACACCTTTTGATCAGTCATAAAATATTCCATCTCCTTGGTATTCTTTTTCCCTCCCTACAATCCATTCTCTCTACATATTCTAAAGAATATGTAGCCAGAGAAATTATGATCCTTTATTACAGGCCTAGAATTCCGTAAGCTAGCTTGCGTTTTTTTTTAAATTTATGTCATTTTCCTTTGCTGAGTTGCCCATTGGCCCTTAAATTGCGTGCAATTTTAAACCTATTATCTGTGCCTGAAATACTTGCTTTGTGATCCAAGACTAGATGCTGATAAGCCTGTATACCTGAAGCCATAATGAAGTTTCATGCTGGCCACGGTATTTCACAGGTCTTCAGTGGCTTGAATGACCTTGGAGGAGACAGGCGATCTTGTCCAGGTGTTACATAATAACTTTTTCTTTTCTTTTGTCAGCCACCTCTCGTTTTCCCATAACTCTCACATTTAATTCTTCTGCACATTATTTGCCATTGATGGCTTTTTCTATCTACTCCATTGGCATTGTCTAATTCTGAGCTAACTTGTTAGCTTTCCCAAGGGAGCCATATGGGTTTTGAAGACCTGGCCATGCCTAGAATTTACATGCTTGACACTCAAGCAATTGAGGTTTTTTTTAACCAGTAAAAATCAATAGTTCATATCTGGGCAGACAGCCACATATTTATTTCTCTGTGTAAAAAATATTTTTTTTCAGTGCATGAGGCGGGGAAACCCAAGTTCCAGGTAGAACTGGTGTGCTAGAGTCCTTCTGTTCCCCCTCAGTGTTACTCTGATGTCTTTTGGCAAGGTCCCTGTGACCCTGAGTGCAGTGGTGGGGTTGGCTGCGATGGACCTGGACCTGAGCACTGCAACGACTGCTTGCACTACTACTACAAGCTGAAAAACAACACCCGGTAAGACAGAGGCCCCGGCGGGTGCCCACAGTTGAGGCTGAAAGTTCCATGTTCGTTCCTTCCCACGGTTGGCCAGAACACCACCACACGTGCCCTCAGACAGCCGCAGTGTGCCCAGGTCTGCCGCCAGCCCCAGTACAGAATTACGGCTGCTGCGTAGCACGGCCCATCACCATGCACAAAATGCACACTTGGAAGGAGAATGAGGAGGGACCCGCTCTGCTCATGGCCTGATCTTCTCCACTCCATTGTTTTCTCTTTTATTTCTTAATTAGCAAATAAAATTATATATATTTAAATACATATTTAAGTATATCTTATACACATCTTTTTCATCATTATATATATATATATATTACATTAAATGTCATTATATAAATTAGGTATAAATCGTGAAAGACAACATGATGTTATAAAAGGGCCATCCATTATAATCCATTATAATCAAGCTCTTTAACATGTGCATTCTCTCACATCCTTATCATTTCAAACATTCAACAAGTCTACTCTTTTAGCTGTTATCATGAATGCAGTGTTTAAACTGTAGCCACCATGTTGTGCAACAGATCTCTTGAAGCTGATCCTCCTAACTGAAGTTCTTCTTTTTATCACGTTGGAATTTGATACTCTGGTTGTATTTTTCCCTTCAGGAAAAGGTCGGGACCTGGGCCAAATGGATGCTTTCACACATTTCCCCAACCTGCAGCAGGGCCGGTCTCTGTTCTTCCTTTTCTTTTCTGGGCCCTGGAGTCCACCTCAGGACCCAGAACTATGCGAATGTATGCCCAGTAGGGCCAGTCTGAGAACCAATGACTTCCCACTCAAGGATCATCCTCCCCACCTGTCCCCACCTGCCTCCTCTCCCATCAGGCCAAACAAAGCTCCCTCCAGGAAGAGGCAGCTCACCACCATTCCTTTTAAAGAGCTAGACCTTAACTAGGACTTGGTTAGGACCAAAATACTCATTACTTGGTAGACTAGGACTATGTAGTTGTGTTCCGCCCTCAGCAATTGAACGACTAGCATTTGGCCTTTTGGATTTAGCCTCAGCACCCTAGTTTAGACTTGATCTTGTCAGCTCTTCTGGAAGAGCTCTTCTGCGCTGAGTAGCAGGTAGCATACCCTTCTCAAATTTCATGTGCTCCAACACAGGATCTGTGTGTCCAGCTGCCCTTCTGGCCACTACCATGCGGACAAGAAGCGATGCCGGAAGTGTGCGCCCAACTGTGAGTCCTGCTTCGGCAGCCACGGTGATCAGTGTCTGTCCTGTAAATACGGATACTTCCTGAATGAAGAAATCAACAGCTGTGTCACTCACTGCCCTGACGGGTCGTATCAGGACACCAGTGAGTTCATTTCAAATATTTGCGTGTTAGAGAAGAGATGCGGGGGTTGCCCTTGAGTGACCTTGAGAGAGATCTAGCTGCTCAACGAAATGTGGGTGTTGCTTCATATCACACAAGATCTAAGCCCTTGTTTTTAAAAGACAGTTTAGATTCTTTACAGAAAACTGTCTGTTGCCAACTGCTTCTGAAGGTCCTCAAGATTGGCCCCAGAGTTAATGATTTTTTTTTCTTTTTTTAACTACAAGTACTCGCAGAACTTGGATATAGCCTGTCTTCTGTATTCAGAATTAGGATTTTTGAGAGCAAAATCAGCCTAGGGTAACTGGGAAACCTAGAAGAAACCAGCTGACCTTCTGAGAGTCCTCTTCTAGCACAGTCATGCAGGAGATTGAATTTGCCTGGCAACAGTCTCTGATAACCCCTGTGGTAGGTAATCTATTAGGGAGCCTCAGTATCCCTGCCTGCCCAGGGATATCATGTGTAGAAGCCAAATAGCTACCGTGTGTTTCGCACACATTTAACTTTCCATAATCCTAGAAGTAAAATAGGTATTTCCTCTAAAACATGTTCTTGTCCTCAGTTTGCACTGTAGAAGTACTCCCGCAATGCGCTACAGAAACAGGATGCGGAGAGCTTCTTCTGTGCCCTCCCCAAAGAGGCGCCATGTCGGCTTGGTATCAGAGTTCGCTTTTTGAGATATTTTTTAAATGTGACTTTCATGTAAATATAGTATGAACTTGGGTCAGATGTATACATACTGTTTTATTCAGGAACTTGTTACAAGACAATTGGGATCAAAGATGATCAGCCGCCAGCAAAGGCAAGAAAGAAATCCTTCTGTTGAATTGGAAGGAAAATTTACTAACTTCCTGCATAGGAAAGCCACTGTGTCTGGGAAGGGGGTCTTTTTTCCTATGGGGCAGAAATAATTACCACCATGCAAAAATTTGGATTCTCACCAATTGTAATTATTGAATAAACAAAGATACATCGCCCTAGAAAACTACATAGTCTTTAAACAGGAATATTAGTTCTCCAGTATAGGACTCAAATAGCTATAGATAATCTTGGGCTTTACATCTGAGTTCTCGATAATTGTTCTCCATATCAGCTTATCATGACTCTGAAATATCATGTGTCTACACAACCTCAGAAAAGCAAGAAACCTAAGCTTAAAGAAACAAGAGTTCTCTCAGAAAAAAAAAAAAAACACCAGACAAAATTTCTGAAATGGGTACCCCTACTTCTTAAAAACTGAAAGAAGTGAGTGAAATTCTCAGTGGGGCCATGGTGTAACTCACCTTGTAATTCCAGCCTTTGGAAGTTAAGAGATGAAGGTGGGAATAATTCCAAGTTTCAGACCTGTTTGAGCTATGTAGAAGAGAGAGAGAGGGGGAGAGATGCAATCCTGGAAGCCTACCATTTCCTTAGCACTGCTTTTGTAATCCTTACATAGTAGTGGTGCCCCAGCTCCGTAAGTTAGACTCTGAGTGTCAGGAAACCCTGCTTACTAAAGCACATGGGGAGAGGAACAAGCCAAGAAAGCATTCAACCAAGAACGAAGCAAGCTGTGGCCCTCTTGCCTGGAGGATGGCTGATAGCTATGTTGTTCTCAATGTAATAATTCATGTCTCTCTGTATGGATTGCTGAGCAATGATAACAGATAGTGATTCTGGGACTTCTACCAATTTTCTACTCAAGACCATGGGCCTCCTACCATATATTAGAAACATTAGAACTTCGCCACATGCTTTGATGGAATCCACTTGGCTGATTGTTTGTAATATTGTTTCCTTTGTGTTTATTTTTTTTTCCTAACAGAGAAAAATCTTTGCCGGAAATGCAGTGAAAATTGCAAGACATGCACTGAGTTTCATAATTGTACAGAATGCCGAGATGGATTCAGGTAAGAAAGGGGGGAAGTCCGTCAAGTGACAGAGCACAAGAAACAAACAAAATGGAAAACGGAAGGAAAAACAAGTAAATAAACAGACCTCTTACCTCTACCCGGTATGACAACCAATGAAGCACTTACCTGCTCTTCGCATGATCTCTACAGTTAGATTGGAGGATGGCAGGTCATCTTGGCTAAGGAAGGGTTATTAACTGAGGAAATTCTCTGGGGAAAAGATGCCTCAGATACATGTCAATGAAAGTGACCGCTCGACAGGCAGCCTTAGTGCTTGGTGACCTGTATTGTGCCAGTCAAGGATTGTTGTGCAGGTAATGCTAGTGAATGATATTTAATCCACCTGATTAATGCCTGGCATGGTAGAACATTCCCTTATCTTTACTAGTTCTCTGCACAAACCCAATCATTTGCTTATCTTAAGTGCCTCAGGCTTGGCTCCATTATACTGCAGTATGCACATAGATTTAACACCGGGGAGACATTTTCATGGAATAGATGACTTGCTCATTGCTGAAGCTGATATTTACTAGATTGTATGAGAGAATAATCTGAAGCTGAAATGAACTCAAAGTCTCTTGACTTCAGGAGAGAAGGTCAAGGCTGAGTGAGGCTTGTATTCTGACTTTATGGGGAGTTTGGATTCTCCCACATTGGATTCGTGTGCGTGTGTGTGTGCGTGTGTGTGTGTGTGTGTGTGTGTGTGTCAGCTCTAGGGCTTGAACTAAAGTCCTGGGCACTGTCTTTTAGCTTTTTTCACTCAGGATTGACACTTTACCACTTCAGTTATACCTTCATGTCGTGCTTTTTTGATTATTTGAAAATAAGAGTCTTACAGACTTTCCTGCCCTAGCTGGCTTGAAACCATGATCCTCAGATCTCAGCCTCCCAAGAAGTGAGGATTCTAGGCACTGGCACCAGTTGTTGGATTCTTTTTAAGTCATGATAGTAAAAACATTTCTATCTCTGCTCCAAGATAAAATATGCATGGTCTATACTGTTTCCAAGCAGAGAATTCTTCACATTAATTAGTATTGGGAGATTATTTTTCACTTCCATTGATTGTAGATTTATCATAGATGTATTCCTTTCTTCCATTAATTCCTTCCATTCATAAATTTATGTCTTTCTTCCATAAATCTCTAGACTTTGATGTTGCTAAATATCTGTCTTTTTAGCCTCCTAATTCTTGAAGAAGCAGAAAAGTGGTGTGGCAGAAAGAAGAGAGATGTAGGCTCAAATCCTCTTCTGCTCTTGGTTCACTGCATGACCTTGGATAATTCACTTAGCCACCACTGGCTCATTTATAAAATGGTGATAATAATTTCTACTTTGCTGGATTACGATAAAAATAAACCATGATAACGTTTATGAACTACTTACTCCAGCACCTGGCACATAATTGGTCCATGTGTAGCAAAATTACTTAAATTATATTCTTTATTTCTCAGAGAACGTTTTGTAGAGTATGCTAAACCAGTGCCAATAGAAATATGAGCCCTGTATATAATTTTAAATGTGCCAGTAGCCATATTAAAAGAAGTAAAAAAGATACAGAGGAAATTGATTTTAATAAAATATTTTATTTGACTTAATATATCCAAAATGTTGTTATTCCAACACGTGACCAGTATTAAAAAAAAAAACTACTAGTGAGGTATTTTATATTCTTCTCTGTTGTTATAACAAGTCTTTTTATATATTTTAACTAGCCTATATTAGTTGTACAAAGGGTTTTCATTTTTATATTTCCAAACATGCCTACAAGGTACTTAAGTCAACCCCTTCCCCCCCCACCACCATTTTTCTGTTAAGTCTTTGATGTCTGGTGTATATCCTCTTAAACTACAATTCAGTTCTGACAATAACTTTTATGAGAATTGTCTCTATTTAAGATGGGTTTTGTTTGGCTTGTTGCTTGGTTGGGATTTTTTTGTGTCAGGACTGGGGCCTGAACCCAGGGCCTTGTGCTCTGGCTTCACTTTTTCAGCTGGTGCTCTTCCTCTTGAGCCATACCTCTACTTCCAGTTTTTTCTGCTTAATTGGAGACAACTGGCTCTCTGATTTATCCGATGGGCTGACTTCAATCTCAGTCCTCCGCTTTCAACCCTCTGCGTGGCTAGAATTACATGTGTGAAGCCACTAGCATCCAACTCTATATTTAGATGTTTTGAACGCTCATGGAGAGTATACAACAGAGCTAAGCTGTTTTATTTTAATTTATGCCTAATATGTTGTTTGTCAAGACAGCAGTCCAGTGCAGATTTTTCCAATTAGGCATACATTTATAAAATTCAGCTTCTTGACCAGCCACCTTTCACTGGCTCAGGGGCCACAGTGGACAGCGCAGACCTCATTCAGCCAGTTTATCCAGGAAAGACGGTGTCCAGGCCCCATCGGCCTACAGACTTTGGTGTCTACTCTCAATACCCATCTCCCTCCATTTATCTGCTGCATATGGTGCAGCCTCTGTGCCTTTTGCATCGGTACCACCTCAGAAGCAGTGTCCTTTCATTGAAAGACAGACAGACAGACAGACAGCTTTTTTCATAGCTGTTAAATTTTGTATTGTTCTTTATATCCCCCCATTAGGTGTGATGTCCTTTTTGCTACTGTTGTAGAAAAGGAAAAAGGTGCTCCTTTTCTTGTCGTTTTAAATGGCAGTTGTTATACCAGCAAGAAGGTCTGTGAAGGATGTAGACTTTCACAGAAAAGTTCTTTGAGGCTTCTTGCGTTTGCCTAAAGGTTCCTAGAGTTGACAATATAGCCTCAGGAGACGTATAAATTATTCCACAGGCTAAGAACAAAACACTGGGAAAATATCTGTGCATAAAATCCAGAAGGCAAATGAATTAAAATGCTCATGAGAGAGTATTAGGGATATATTTTTTTCACTTGCTTTAGTTTCAGAATTTCCCTGTTTTTTTAATGAGCATAAGGGAAGATAAGTTTTAATTTTTAAAATGAGTATCATCCTCATGTATTAAATGGTTTAACGAATCTGACAAATTAGGAGAGAAAAATATGTACAGTTCCCCCTTTGACATTCTGACAACGGACTACTACCTCATAGAATTAGAAAAATAAAAAAAAATCAATGTGGAATAGATTAAACATGGAAATATTAAATAACACAACTATGAAAAGTTGCTCATGTAACTGTAACCCCTCTGTACAGTATTTTTACAATTAAAAAATGTATTTATAAAAAAATAGAAACGTCAAGATGTGTAACAAAGCAGCATGGTAGGTAAATTCCTGATTGTTTTTTTTGCTAAATTCCTGTGATTAGGTGTTTAAAATGAATAAATCAGGAAGTAAAAGTAAAGATATATTAGTGTGTGTGTGTGTGTGTGTGTGTGTGTGTGTGTGTGTAATTGAACCCAGAGCCTCAGGTTTGGTAAGCACAACCTTTACCTTTAAGCCCAAGAATTTTGTGGGTTTGGTAGGACCAGTAGAAAGTTAAAATCAGAAACATCCAAGTACATGAAAGACTCCTCCAGGAAGAAATGGTTGGGAGTTGCGTGGGAATAGCTGTTACACTTTCATTTACTTGTAATCCATGTGTTCTTAGTGTGTTTAGAATTATAGAACATGTTTGAAGCCTATTGTGGCGTATGTCCACAATAGTATGTCGCTAAAGCTTAGCCGCACCTATACATGCTACAGACAGGGTTACAGGAATCAAAAGGGAAAAAGAGAACACCGGGCCATTACCCTTGCTTTGATGCTTCACCAAATTCACTGGTCTCTGAGGCTGGTGTATTTGTTACTGTGGAGTTTGGGGGAATCATTGCTGATTCGCGGTGATCGCACAGGCTACTCAGAGTGTGTTTACCCTCTCCCAGCCTGCAGGGGTCCCGGTGTACTGTCACCTGTGAAGACGGACACTTCTTCAACGGCCTGGACTGCCAGCCCTGCCACCGCTTCTGTGCTACTTGTGCTGGTACCTGGTCTACCTTTCTTCCGTGTCTTCCTTTTTTTCCTCTCTTGGCTTGTGTTTGGCCAGTTCTAGTTGCCATTTATGCGACCCCCTCAGTGTATTTAAAGGAAATGTAGACCAGAGTATTTTGGTGGGTTTCATGGAAGGCCAACCCTCTCTCCAGCCTTTCCTTACTGGGGAGGTATTTCCTTCTCATTCTAAAGAGAGCAGATGTTCTATGGCAAATCGATTTGATATGAAATAGGAGACGCTTTCACCAACCCTACCCAACGGTGGGGGCGGAGGGGGCACCACACAGTTAAATTAAGACTTGCAATGGTCATAGGGGCGTGACATTTTCCCTAGTCTGGTAAAGAAGCAGCCATGCCACAGTCTCCCCTGCAGCTTTGTTTCTTGAAGGGGCCGGAGCTGATGGATGCATCAATTGCACAGAAGGTTACTTCATGGAGGAGGGGAGGTGTGTGCAAAGCTGTAGCATCAGCTATTACTTAGACCACTCTTCAGAGAACGCCTACAAGTCCTGCAGAAAGTAAGTGCACCTGCCCCAGCTCTAGCATGAATATTGAGAAACCGCACATTCAAAATCATCATTTGACCATTCCTCATTGGGTATTGCCCTCGAGCTTTACCTTGAGTTACCTATCTGGTGTGTTGTTATAAAACAAGATTTTTAAAGAAGACATGAGCAGGCTGATAATTACATGTCTTCTCATATGTGTGCACGACGTGCAAAAGGATTGAAAATGGGTACATTTTTTCCTGCAGATGTGATACGAGTTGCTTAACTTGCAATGGCCCTGGGTTCAAGAACTGTACCAGCTGCCCCAGTGGGTATCTCTTAGACCTAGGAGCGTGTCAGATGGGAGCCATCTGCAAAGATGGTGAGTACACGTGTTCATGTGGATCTCTGACCAAAGTGTGGTATTTCTATTTTAAGGCCTAACACTATTTCCATTTCAAAAAAGAAACTAATAAGCATACATTCTATGCAACCTGCCGAATATCTTGCTCACATTCACTTGTTTTAGTATGCCTCTAATGGGCTGAGTGTCCTATTTTTATTCATTTATTTATTTTCAGACAGGGTCTCACTATAGCACAGGCTGACCTAAAACTTGTTTGTATCTCAAGCTGGCCTACACCTTTACTCCTGCTTCAGCTTTGTGGGTGCTGAGATTACAGGGTTATGCCATCATGCCCAGCTGTTTCCTTTATTTTTTTTAATTGCAAGAAGATTCATCACATGTGGTCCCACTGACCAACGTGGCTCATTAGTTCTTTTAATTCATAAACTTTATTTCTCTGAGCAGCTTTCAATCCACATGAAAATTGAGTAGTACAGACAGTGCTCTTACACTGCTTGTCTATCCACTTGCATGGCCCTCCTTCACTGTCCTCAAAGGCCCATAGTGGACACTGGGATATGCCTTTAGTGTGTTGTGCATCCTCTTGGTTTAAACAAAGGCATAATGATGTGTCCTCCACATTCTTACCAAGCAGGTTCATTGCCCTGGAAACCTTCAGTGCTCTGCCTATTTGTTCTCCCTTCCAACCCCTACTGTCTCGGCAGAATTCCCTCTGCAAAATTTCATACAGTTGGAATCATAATGTGTAGGCTTTTCTTGTTAATTCTGATGTATTTCTTTCCAGTCTCTACCATATGTACTTTTTACTCAACTTTTTTAAAGCCATGCATATTTTATAATCTTCTTTTTACAGTAAATATTATGCATACAATTTTCCTATGTTCTGTTTCTTTACAAAGGCTAAGAACACTCTGTCTGTCTGTCTGTCTGTCTGTCTGTCTGTGCGCGCGCGCGCACACACACACACACACACACACACACCCTGGTATGGGGTAAAACTCAGGGTCTTGTAGTTTCACTTGACTTTCTTGTTCACAGCTGGTGCTCTACCACTTGAGCCTGAAACTTTAGTAGTAATAATAGTAAATAATAGTAGCATGAAACACAATAGTGCAGATTCCTTAATTTTGTTGGGTTGGGAGCAGGGAGGCTGCCCCTTCTACTATTTGGATTTTTTTGTCATTTTCATATGTAAATGATAATCGGATGGAATCTGAATCTTTCATGAAGCCCATGAGGCTAGTAATGAATATTCTAGTCTTCCAGAAAGGAGATTCCAAAATAGGATGCTAGAAAGTGATAGACAAAATGTAGGCCTGAAGCATTATAAATGCTGATCCATTTCTTTTTTTTTTGCACCAGTGGTTCTTAACAAAGGTGCTGAACCCCACGCTTTCCCCAAGATTCTCATTGACTTGGCCTGGAATGTAGCCTGGGCACGGATATTTCTAGAAGTTCCCACCTGTTTTTAATGTACAGCTCCCATTCCCCTGATAGTTTGGCACATGCCACATTCCCTCACCTCTAGCCACAGTTTCCTCATCTGTAAAATCAATCAATTCAAGTTCTTTCAATTCCAGCACTTAATGAGCTTTGGTATTCCGTGGAATTCACAGAGGCCTAGTCTTTACACATAAAATCCATATCAATAAGACAAAGACATTGAATGGCGGTTCAAAATACCTTTGGGATCACTAAAATAAATAGAAAGTATGCATTTGTGCGTGCTTTAGAAAGTAAGAAATAGAAGATGTTTGTCTCAGTGGCAAGACCGTTGTCCTAACTTCATTCTGTGCCTTCGATTGAATGCTTTGGCGTTTGTAAATTCTGCTGGACAGGCAGCCCAGTACTGCTGTTGGTCGACGGTGGGCTTATGCGTCAGAATGTTATATTCCAGAGCTTCAGATCCTGGGGCAGGTTATAAACTTCTCTGGGCCTTATGTCCCTCATAAGCATAAAACGAAGACCATAATGCTACTGCAGCTGCATTGTTATTCCACAGCTCCTTCTGCAGAACTGCAGAAGGGCCCAGAAAATAGGGTTTCTGCTGCCACAAATAGAGCATGGCTCTGATTTCCTCAACACATTGCAGGTGGCTGCATCCTTGTGAACTCACTCAGGCCCGGGCTCTGAGATTTCTTGGCCAGGATAAATTCTCACTTCACCCTATTGGGGTGTGAGGCCTGATGTGACAATTCCCCGAAGATCACCTTTTACTTAAAAGTCTGGGGCCTTTATATCTGACCACAACCTTCACTGCTTATGGGAAGATGAGCAGAAAACCCAGGGGGACAAAGGATTGACAGAGGGACATTGCAAAGGTTCTGTCTCTCACCTGGGTCCTGGGCAATTTCAAGTGTGTGATGGTTTGACAACCTTTGATAAACTCCTGATGGACGTGGAGTAAGTTGTACATATGGGAAATTGGTAAAAAAGCGAAGTGTCAGGATCGTGGGAAAGAGCGGAAAACAAAAAAGGTTCATCAGAATGAGTTCACTGGCAAGTCAGTTCAAATCCTTAACCAAGCACCAGTGACTCACGCCTGCAATCCTAGCTATTCAGAAGTTTGGACCATCGCTCAAAGCCAGCCTAGGAGGGAAAGTCCATGAGATTCTTATCTCCAATTTACCACCAGAAACATAGAAGTAGAGTTATAGCTCCAGTGTAGAACATCAGCCTTGAGCAAAAATGTCGAGTGAGATCTCCAGGTCCCCCCATACCCTTCCCTTCACATACACACAAAAGAAGAGGTTCTTCATGGCTCAGAGAACTTTCAAGGCACATGACAACTGCTTGTAAGAATGTACTGTTCGTTCCCTTTCAGTGGTCATATTTCTATGATTCCAAGACACACTTAAAGAAACATTTTAAGATCTCTGAAACCAGATGCATCTTATAATGTATGGCAGTTTATGCTGCTTTGACTGGCAGATGGTAAGTAGGACATACGTGTCACTGCTTCGATAGGAGGTCTGGGCACAGAATTGGCCATTCAGCTGAATTACTAATTGGCACCTGGCTTCTGCTTTCTTAACAGTAGTTTAATAGAGCTTCAAAAGTTTAAATCATTATTCAGTATTCAAAAGAAGGCTCATTGTACAAGCATCGAAACAAAACTCTATGTTAAATGACAAATCCTTTAATTAAAATTCTAATTGATCAGAGAACTATGGTATCACAGGCTAGTTACAAAGCTTTATTTTTTCTGTCATACCTAATGATGCATCTGAAATCCTTGTGTCTTGGATTCAATGAAATATGTTAGAAATGACTGAATATTCTCTACTCCTTGTAATTCTGGGAAGAAAGAAAATCCTTGCTTGTGTTATTATTGATTTCTAATTTATTCTTTCTCCAATCTTTTTTTTTTCCTTTCACAATGGATACCAATCACATATACCACGGGACTGCAATTATCTCTTCTTGAAAAACCATGCTGTTGACTGAAATCACTTTTGGGTGGACCAAATTTCCTCCTTGTTGACTGCTCCTGAATGACCTCTTCCAACCCCCCCGATCTGCCTCTCTGGCCAATCAAAACCTCCTTCCGTGTGTGCATCATGGTGCTTTCAACCTCTACTCCTCCTTCTGTCTTGCTGACTTCCGGAAAAGCAACGGAAGAGTCCTGGGCGGAAGGAGGCTTCTGTGTGCTTGTGAAAAAGAACAATCTGTGTCAACGGAAGGTTCTTCAACAACTCTGCTGCAAAACATGTACATTCCAAGGCTGAGCGGCTATCTAAATTTCTTTGTTCCTGTAGACTTATAGATCATTCCATATTATTAAAAAGAAAAAAAGCCAAAAAAAAGCAAGCCACCTCTCTCTTTCTTGCTATCTTTTTTTTTTCTCTCTCTCTCAAGTTTGTGCAGGGAGATGCTGGTGAACTGTTTTGTCAGAACTTAAATGGAAAAAAAAATAAACCTACAACAAGCCTACCTTTTAGAACTGGGTGTTTAAGTACTAAACAGCCAGAATTACAGAGACAGTATTGTATGACCAAAGTATTTGATGCCAAAATTTGATGTTAAAAGTAATGATTTGATTTCCTGCTCTGAGTTCTGAAGGTCCTTTTCTTGTTTTTATTTTTTTTTCATTTCTTTTGCATCTAACTTACTTGTTTCCCCCTTTGAAATGCCTAAAAATATTTTTTTTTCCAAAACATCACAAGAATGTGCACAGATGAAAATCAAACAGCAGGCTCTTACATCACTTCATTTCCATGCTGGAGCCCACCACAGGGGGAAATGGCAGGAAAATGGACCCAAGGGCTTAGGGAACATCCTGTAGACTAGCATTCAGTGTTGTTTGTCGTAGTGTTTCATAGCTCAACACTGATACTTTCCACATGTAAGTTGCTTGGTGCATTCTGTACTAGTCTTTACGTTTAACTCACTTGATAAGTCTGTGCCACTGGTTTCTATCAGATAGACTTGCTGCTACTGGTTTTTTTTTCCATGGAAGATTGGGTTGTTTTAACACGGCTAGTCTAACAGGATTGTTCCATGCAGGACAATTGGTGATGGCAAAAATCCAGAGGACAGAAAAGAGCTGAGACTGACTCAGCTCCCCTAAAACTTTGAGAGTTAAATTCCTAAACCCTGCACAATCTCTTGGTGCTATCTCACCATTATCCCCCATAGCCTCTCTTGAAGATCATCAGAAATTCCGTTGATCACAATGGGAAGCATTTTGGATATGATGCAGGAAATTTCTTCCTGGAGTCAAAAGTTTCTAAGAGGTCCTTGTATTTTTTAAGAAATGGAATTTATTTAAATCTATTTAAGCTTGTGCTCAAGACAGCCGGGCAATGTTTTTCAATGGTGCTTATCTGAAGTCTTTTCCTCTTGTCATTTGAAAAAAAATAATAAAACTGGAAATTGAATATGGGCGGCACAATTGTACCCTCAGTCCTGTATTTTCTCACTCTTTTGTTCCTCTCTCGCTAGACCATTCTCCTACACTCTTGTCCATTGAATGTTGATGAAATCATCTGGGTTGTTTTGGAGGGGGGTTAATG